ATATAAATAGTTAAAACTTACCATATAATATAATTATATATTAACAATTTTATACAAAAAGTTAAGTATATATTAATATAAAATAACTTTGTATATTATTTATTTAATACGTTTTTTAATATTTATTTAATGTTGATTTTAAAAACCCTCGATTTATTTATTTTACTTTTTTTTTTTTCCCCGGTTATATTAAACCTTCGTTTTTTTATATAAAATAAAATAAAATACTAATTTTAATTTTTCGTTTAATTTAATTATATAAAATTAATAATAAACTTTATTAATATAATTAATTTTTATTAATAATTATTTTTATTATTACAATTTATAAAAGTTAAATCATTATTTATAATTAAATTATATTAAATATTTTTAAAAAAAATTTATTATTAACTTTATTTATATTATAATATTATATATAAAAAAGGTAAATAATTTAATATTTATTACTTTTTTTAACTTAATTATATTATAATATAACTTTAATAAATTAATTACTTGTTATAAATAATAACCAATTATTAAACATTTTTTAAAAAAATTATTAAAAACATTAAAAAATATAAAAAAATATTTTTTTATATTAAAATTAAAATATAATTATTATAAAATATAACCACGTAAACTTTTTATTTTTACATATATTATATAATTTATTATATTACTTTTTTTTTATATATATATATTAAATTTAAAATTATAATAAAAAGGTTTTCGTTTTTAAAATAATATTTATATAATTTTTACATTATTTAATTAATAATAAAATTAATAAATGTTTTGAATTAATTAAAACTTATTTTAAACGTATTAATATTATTGTTTTTAATATTATTTTTAATATTAAATAATTTAATGTAATGAAAATTATTTAAATTATTTTAAATTAAAAATTCGAAATTATTTTTTAAAATTATATTAAAGTTTTAATTAATTATAAAATTATATAATTAAAAAAAATATAACTTTATAAACGATTTTAAATTTATAATTTAAATTTATTAAAATTCCGTTTTTTTTTTTAATTTTATAACTTTTAACATATAACCCATTTTTTTTTTATTAATAAAAAACTTAACATAAACAAATATTAAATATTTTACTTTTATAATAATTTTCGTATATTAAAAAAAAAAAGCTAATAATTCTTTTATACGGCTTATGTAATGGTTGTAAAAAACATTTAAAAGGTAAAATTAAAGTTAACGTTAAAGTTTTTAACTTATAAATGGTTTATATGTTAAAGGTTGTAAAATCTTAAAAAAAACGGTAAATTAAAATTATTAATTTTTTAACATTATTATTTATATGATAATTAATGGCAAATTTATTTTAATAAATTTAAACTATAAATTTAATATTATAAAATTATACCTTTTTTAACCACACCATTTTTTAACCAATTAAAACCCGGAACAATTTTTTAAAACAATATTAAATTTATGGTTTAAAATAACTTTAAAATTTTACATATTAAAAATATATGTTTAATATTTTAAAAAAAACAATATTAACAATATTATTAAAAATAATAATATTACCGCGTTTTTATAATAAATTTTATTAATTATATAATTGTATTAATTTTATTATTAAATTTATTAATTAAATTTACATGTTTTAAATTTTTTAAAATGTTAAAAATGGTTATAACGGTTATATTATAACAGTTATAACGCGTTAACTGCAATATCGGTTATAACGGTAACCGTAACAAACGTTAAAACTTAATATATAAAATCATAAATATATATAAAAAGTTAAAAAAGTTAAAAAGTAACTTTAAATTATTATAAAAAAAAAATTTATTTTTTTAAAAAAATATTACGTTTAAACTTTTTAAAAATTAATAAAATAATTAATAAAAAAATATATTATAAAATACCATAATAATTACGTAAATAATTAATAAATTAATAAACTTTAATATTTAAAAATTTAATTGGTCGCATTTTATATCGCTTTTATATTATGCGAGTATTTTTATTAAATGTATTTTTTTTAACTTTTACATTTTAAAATTAATTAATTAAATATATTGCTTTTTACTTTTACACCAATTATATGTTTTTATTAAATGTATTTATTTAACGCTTTTAACTTTTATATAACCTTACAGTTATATGTTTACATAATTAACCAAAATGACAATAATTTTACAAATGGTTAATTTAAAAAATGACCGGTATTTAAAAATAATAAAAAATAATAAAAAATAATAAAAAATAATAAAAAATAATAAAAAATAATAAAAAATAATAAAAAATAATAAAAAATAATAAAAAATATATATAATTAAAAATAAAAAATAAAAAAAATTAATAATTAATAATTAAAAATAATTAAAAAGAATTAAAAAAATTAAAAAAAATATAAAAAAATTAAAAAAATATAAAAAATTAAAAAAATATAAAAAATAAAAAAATAAAAAAATAAAAAAATAAAAAAATAAAAAAATAAAAAAATAAAAAACATTAAAAAAATAAAAAAAATAAAAAAATTTAAAAAAATAAAAAAACATTAAAAAAATTAAACAAAAATTAAAAAAATAAAAAAAATAAAAAAAAAAGTTTTTTGTTTTTACAGGGTAACCGCCACTCGGACTTAGAAGTTTCAGCGGTTTTTTCGGAAAGATTTAACGGACAGTTTTTTTTTTTTTTTTTTTTTTTTTTTGTGTGTGTGGGGGGGGGGGGGGGGGGGGGGGGGGTGGGGT